GGCCCAGTGGGAGACCTGGTGGCTTACCTGGGTTACTAACTGCACGGTCGGCAGTTCAAAATCAACAGCAGGAGAAAGATGACCCTTTTCACTCCCATAGAGTCACCGTCTCGGAAACCCACCGCTGTCCACTAGGGTTGGTAGGGGTTGGAATCGACTCGATGGCAGTGAGAGGTCAGTGAAGGTGAAGTCAGGGCATGTGGAGACAAAGGAGATGGCTGCAACGGGGGAAAGCAGAATGAACAGTGCTTCTGTGTTAGCACAGTGATCTGAATGCTTTCTTTGGGGACATGGTGGTCTCTAAGGAGGAGGCTCCCTCAGGGTCCATTTCCCCTATGCATCTGTCCACTGACCATCCACACACTCTCCTTTCCTTCTGTCCTTCCTTCCTTCTGTCCATCCACTCTTCTTTTCATCCATCCAGCTACCTTTCTACCCACCCTTCTATGCTGTCATCCATCCATCCATCCATCCATCCATCCATCCATCCATCCATCCATCCACTCTTCTTTCCTTCTTTCATTCCATGTGCTCACATTCATCTGTTTACACTGGCCAACCCATTTGGTGCCTCAAATGTTAGCATTGTTTCTGGTATTTGACCTGTTGATCCCAACAATAGCACCAGTTTTCCCCCCCATCAGCTCTAGTTTTGAGACACAGAACATATGTCATATACCACTCTTCACTCTGCTCACCCATAAAACACCAGGATAATTTAATGTAGTGTTAGGCAACCTAAGACAGAGGAAGTACACACTAACTTTATTTAATGTGTGTTGTACTAAATATTTAGGTCATTATACTTCATATGGTGTCCTTTGGTCCAAAAATCTTTTTGAACAGTGCAAATTACATGAACTTGGAATTTTCCCCAAGTATCACTTCACCTTGATTAGGAACTGGACAGTAGGCAGTTCCAATTTTTTATCTTAAAAGGTGACCAGAAATGATAAATAAGGAACCCTGGTGGCACAGTGGGTTGTGTTTGACTGTTAACCACAGGGTCAGCTCTTGAAGCCCACCAGCTTCTCTAAGAGAAAGATGAGACTTTCTGTTCCCATAAAGATTTAGAGCCTCAAAAATCCACAAGAGACGTTCCACTGTGTCCCAGGGTCTCTAGGAATCACAATCAACTGACTGGTAATGAGTTTAGTTCAGTAAATAGAGATTCAAATGTTCTGAAACCCAAAATGCATGTCAGAATTCATCCTCCTTTATTAAAAATAAGGTGTTCCAGTCTTGTTAGAATATGGCACAACTTTTCCACCTGTGCACAGAAACTCTAAAAATTGGAATTTTTCTTATAAAGAACCTTGGAATCAACCTAATCTCTGAAGCATTTCACATAAATTATCCATTGACATTGTATGTATTAAAATGTGTTCTGAAAATATTTACTGCATAATTTGAAGAAGAATTTAGATCTTGAAAATATTGATGAAAATTGCTACAAAGTCTTACATTTTTGACACTCTATTGCCCTCACGCCTTCTGAATATGAGCCTTTTCCATTTTCTTTTTTGTTTTCCACTCCTCTCAAGCTGTGTGCTGGCTTGGCAGTATCCAACTTGTAGTCTCTGTACATATTGCACAGCCAATTGCATATGTTGTATGCATACACTACATTGTACATCTTGCATACCAAAAAGAAAAACCTGCTGTCATCTAATATCAATTCAATTCTAACGCATAGTGATCCTATAGGACAGAGAAGAATTGCCCCTCTGTGTTTCAAAACCTTTATCTCTTTTAAAGGCTGCAGAGTGACTGGTGGGTTTGAACCACTGAGCTTATGATTGGCAGCTCAATGTGTAACCATAGGTCCATATACAGCTTCCCTTGGAAGCCCCTTAATATCTCATTCTTTTGCAAGTATTTCATACTTTTTAGGTTATATCCTATCATTTGTGGGTCTGAATTTTCTCATATTTAAAATGAGGATGATAAATTAATAAATTATTATAGCTTAGCTGAAGATATAATGAAGCACCCTATCTAAGAAACTAGACCTGATGCAATCTACTCAATGAAGTTTTCTGAATCTGTGCCCCAAAGATCCCAGGAACAAGCCTGAAAACCAACGCACCGAGGGGAAACATGTTTTTGGTTGGGCTGTGTTAGCCGTCATTCATCGATCCTTCCTCCATACACCCTATGTGATATCTGTCCCCTAAATCCTGGGTGCACATGTCCTCTGTGTAAGGGTTAGGATGGTGAATACAATATAGGTGTGAGCAGAAATGGACAGCTCAGTCTGACAAGTTTGCCAGCAGTAGAAGCCCAGAGGAGGAGGAGACTGGTACTGCCTGAGAACTGATGGCTGCCCCCCAGCCAGGGCATACATGAGCTAGCCCTTGGTGAGAAGCTTGGTAGGCCTAAGAGGAGCAAAGGCAAAGACTTCAAGATATGAACAAACCTGGAGTGATGGTGAGAAGTCCCAGGCCTTTGGAGGTGTGTCAGCAGATGGAGCTGGAAGAAAGGGGAGGCCTGGCATGTTCTGTTAACAAACTTGAACTTAATTTTGGCAACAAGGGGAAGCCATTAAAGGAGATTCACTTGGCTATTGTCAGGCATGTGCTTTGATAAAGTGTGCAGCTAGAGAAGGGGTGCCACAGCCTTCTTGGGCACCCTCAGACCCCTACCTGAGGCTCTTCCTTCTCATGGTGGTATGCCCCCACTGATCACCACATCCAGTGACCTGGAATGGTGGGGAGTTGGGAGCTGTCCCTGCCTGTCTTCTCTTCTGCACCCTCAGGACTGCACGCCAGGCCATGTGTCTGGGTCAGGTCTGACCTCTTTGCAGACCTCTAGCTAGCTGCCAACATCTGCACTGAAAGGACACTGTCGTTTCTTCCTCCATCAGCTCCGAGCCAAGCTTATCATTGTCTCTAGTCCACCATCCACTGGAGCCCACACATCTGCCTACTGTCCGTCATTCACTTTTCACTGCCCGAAAAACTTCTACATCACCCTCAAAGCCCAATGCCGGCGTGCCCTCCACGGTCCTTCCCTACCCGCTCATCATTCCTGCAGAAGAGCCTGCTCTGTTCTGGGCTCCCTGTTCTCTAGTATCTCTCTCCCTCCCCAAAAGCCCCCGGGCCCGTGGATGTGCGTGTGGAGGCCTGGAGACCCACAGGGACACGGGTGGGAGAGGGAGGAGGAGGCTAGATCGGACAGATTGCCCAGATGAAGTAGTCTAGGACCCCCTTCTCCCTCTGTGGCACCAAGGCAGGTGGGCCTACAGGGTAAGATACTGGCCCTTATGCAAGGGAGGGAGGGTCCCTGGTCTGTGACAAAAACAAAACAAAAAACCCAAACCCACTGCTATCGAGTCATTTCCAACTCTGGGTGGCCACACAGGGCGGAGTTCAAGTGCCCCACCGGGTTTCCAAGGCTGTCGGTCTCATGGAAGCAGATGCCACATCTTTCTCCCTCGGGGTCGAACCAACCACCTTTCGGTTAGCAGCTGAGCACGTTATCCACGATGCCACCAAAGCTCCTCTGGGAAGGTCTTGCAGACTGGAACCACAGCAGCTGGCTTGGCAAGGGGCTGCCTCCCGAGGGGGCCTCAGTTTCCCTGTCAGTGCTGTGTGTCATGGTGGCATGGTGGTCAAAAGGGTAGGCCAGGAAGGAAGGACAGAAAGAGAGAGCGACCTGGGCATTGCCTGTGGTGCCAGCCTGGTGTTGAAATAAGATGCTGGCATGTGGTGCTCCCCACCCTGGTACCTCCTCCTAGGGTGGCTTGGGTCAGAGTGATGTGGAATCAAATGTGGTGGATGCCCTCCCCGCATCCCACCCCCAGCCAGGCTTCACCCACCCTGATGGGAGCCAGGCCTCAGGGAGCTGTGCTGGGTAGGACCCAGGAGCCTGACCTCTGCTGCCCAGGCCACTGCTAGTGGGACTGGTGGGACTGGGGGCAGGATAGTGAGCTGCACTCCCCAGGAGGACAGGGACTTGCGGGGAGGGACAGGACGCAGCCCTGGGCGTCCGGCCACACAGTCCTCCCTTCCTGTTGTCTCAGGATGGTCCTGGCAGGATGCATCTGCCAGATTCCAGGCCAGACCTCCCCCCAGGGCCTGCTCCCACCCCACCCCACCCGGGATTCCCTGCCACACACACACACAGCCTCACATGTGCGCACACATGGCCGCATCCCCCCCGTCCCGAAACCAGCACCCCGGCAGACACCCACAGCTGGTCCCCCACACTAATGCACACAGTTGCACAGATTCACAGACAGTACCACGGACACACACACACACAGACAGACACGTACGCCTTCCTGCTGGCAATAGGAGCTGGTTTGGGCAGCAGGACCTGGGTCCCGACGGGCAGAGGTGCCCGGCCCCACTCAGCTCTGCAGGCAGGGAGAACACGGGGAAGGTTGTTAAAGAGGAGAGGCGGGTTTGCGTGTGTTTAAGAACAAGCCTTATGGGGAAATGGGGAAGCTGGGACAGCAGGTGGGGCCTTCGCGGGGGAGAGAGACGTTTGTGGAGTCAGAGGAGACGTGAGGCAGAGACCAGGGGACCTGGCCGAGGCAGCTGCACCTGGAGAAGGTCGGGGATAGCTGGCGCTCCCACCGGCAGTGGGCACGGGCTGGAGAAGAAGCTTCCAGCAATAGGAGGTCACAAAGTCAGCGTAAGGAGCTCCAGGCCTTCCCCCCAGAGAAGTAGAGGCCTGAGGGCTGAGGTCCCCTGCCGTCTCACCATGTCAGCAGCTCAGTGAGGCCGGGGGCGCCCATGTGGGGAGAGGTCAGCGTTGAATCCAGGTTTTGTTCAGACACACTTGAGTGGGCCTCCATCTAAGGACAGGACTGGAAATCCAGCTGTGTGAAGGTGATGGGTTATCTTGGGGCCTTACAGGTCATGACACTAGAGTTGTACATGCCAGGGTGTTGGGTCTGCTCCCACCGACAGAGAGGGCTCCACTGCCACCTGATCAGTGTCTGCCCTCTGACCCCGTGACCCAGCACCAAGTCACCCTGTCTTCCTCCCCAGGTCTAGTGAGTGGCTACTCCATGACTCCCCCGAGCCTGAACATCACGGAGGAAACCCACGTGATCAACGCCAGTGACAGCCTGTCCATCTCCTGCAGGTACTTGGCCCCCAGCCTAGGGTGGCCAGGGCCTGGGTCCCTCCTAGTTGGCAGGTCAAGGAGGCTGAAGGAGGCTGAGGCAGGCAATGGTGACTGAGGACCCAGAAGACAACCTGTCTCCAGCACAGAGATGCCTCAGGTTCAGGGGTGGGGATGGAGATCCCAGGGAGCGTGAGTACATGCACTATGCTGGAGGGATAGATAGCCCATGCCCCCAGCTACAAACACTTACACACACCGCATACCCACTCCACATTCACCCCATCCACCGGACACACCCCTACTGACCCCATGTGATCTCTCACTAGTCCCAGGCTGGCCCCTGATGACCCGCACTTACTCTGGGGCACACCCCACCCCCCACACCCCACCAGCCACACTGCATGGAATCTTGGGCCCCCTACAACCACCCAGCCACCTACACAGGCTACAGGTCCCAGAGATGTTACATTGCATGAGCACCAGCTGTCATCTGAGACCAGCCCACCACACTCAGGCCCTGGGCCCAGGCAGGATTCGGGACTGAGTCCATGCTGTGGGCCTGAGCTGTCCTGCGAACTCACCTATCCTGGGGATGGGCAAGCTATGGATGAGTCTTTGTTTTTGAGGGCACTCCTGGGGAACCTCCCCCTGGGCTATAGCTGGGCCCCTCTTCACCTCCCCCATCCTCTGCCAGGGGGCAGCACCCTCTCGAGTGGACTTGGCCAGGGGCTCAAGAGACGCCAGCCAAGGGGGAGAAGGACAGTGTGGACACCGGGGTTGTGCAGGACTGTGAGGGCACCGACGCCAGACCCTACTGCAAGGAGCTGGTGCTGCACGAGGCCCGAGCCAACCACACAGGCAGCTACCGCTGCTCCTACAAGTACATCAAAGCCCGAATCGAAGGCACCACCGCGGCCAGTGTCTACATCTTTGTGAGAGGTGAGACCAGTCTTCTCTCACATGGGATTGCCAAGTCCAGGCAGGGACAGTGGGGGTCCTGCAGGTCCCCCTACAGCCTGCCATCCCTGGCTTGCAGGTAGTCACAGGCTGACCAGTCCTGGGGGGCTGTCCCTGCTGTCCCCCGCCCCCCAGAGAGTCACTGAGCCTCCCTCCCCCCTCTCTGCAGACTTCGAGCAGCCTTTCATCAACAAGCCGCACACACTCTTGGTCAAAAGGAAGGACTTCATGTGGGTTCCCTGCCTGGTGTCCATCCCGGGCCTCAACGTCACACTGTGCTTGGTACAGCCTCCATCCCCATCCCGGGATCCAGCCTGCCTGTCCAGTCCCTGGGAAAGGAGGCTTCTGGTCTGACTAGGGAGACAGGGGGCAGCTGGGCCCTGACAGCTGCCATCTCCCTCCAGCAAAACTCCGTGCTGAGGCCAGACGAGCAGGAGGTGGTGTGGGATGACCGCAGGGGCATGCGGGTGCCCGTGCCGCTGCTGCGGGAGACCTTGTACTTGCAGTGTGAGACCACCCTGGGTGGCCAGGACTTCCGCTCCAATCCCTTCCTCGTGCATATCACAGGTAGGCCCAAGTCAGCCCAGGGGCCACTTGCTCTACCTTGAGAGGTGGGCTGCAGAGGGACCCGGGCATGACTCCCACAATCCGCTTCCCCAGGTGGGGCTAAGCTTGTGCCGTAGCCAAGGTCTCAGTGGGAGTGGGTGTGCCGTGTGAATCCCCTGTGGATGTGCGAGTCACTGTTGTGTGTGTGTGTGTCACCAGGCAATGAGCTTTATGACATCCAGCTGTTCCCCAAGAAGTCCCTGGAACTGCTGGTTGGGGAGAAGCTAGTCCTGAACTGTACCGTGTGGGCCGAGTTCAATGCAGGTGTCACCTTCGACTGGGACTATCCCGGGAAGCAAGTGAGGTCCCAAGCCTGCCAGGGCTCTTTCCTCCTGGCCATACTCACCCCATACTCCCATGTCCCAAGAGTCCCCTAGACAGCATGCACCCTGTGCCCAGCATGTCCTGAGGGGTCTCTGGGAGCTGTTCTCATCCACCCTGTGCCCAGTACACACAGTCTGTCTGGGGGGGGCCCACGGGCTCCAGAAGCCCTAGTTCTTTGACAGGGGATTTTCCTGCCCCAAAGAGAGTTCTGGGTCTGGGTCCAAGGCTGGGCATGTGTCCCTAGCCCATCTCCCTTCTGACCCTGGCTCCCCTGACACGGGCAGGCGGAGCGGGGTAAGTGGGTGCCAGAGCGGCGCTCGCAGCAGACCCACACGGAGCTCTCCAGTATCCTGACCATCCACAACGTCAGTCAGCGTGACCTGGGCCCCTACGTGTGCGAGGCCAACAACGGGGACCAGCGGTTCTGGGAGAGCACCGAGGTCATTGTGCATGGTACGGCCGGGGCTGGGAGCCGTCACCAAGCCTGGATCCCAAGAGTTGGTGTGCAGTGTGGCCCGAATCAGAGGTCATAGTGCAGCCGGGCAGAGGGGAGGTATACCTGGAAGGTGCCCAGATGGGAGGACCCTGTGTGCGGATCTGCCCCGCTCCCATACCCTAGCACCGGGCAAGTCCCATCTGCAGGGTAAGCAGCTGGGGTGCCAGGGTGCCACGGCAGGTCCTGAATGGTGGGGAGACAGTGAGCCCTGCCTCTGCTTTACACTGGCTTCCCCCCACCCCCACCTCCCCATATGGCAGAAAAGCCCTTCATCAGCGTGGAGTGGCTCAAGGGCCCCGTCCTGGAGGCGACAGCAGGAGATGAGCTGGTGAAGCTGCCCGTGAAGCTGGCGGCGTACCCCCCGCCCGAGTTCCAATGGTAACAGCCTGGGTTCCCTGGACACCCCCTGACCCCACCCCCGCCACCCCTGTCCTCACTACCCACCACTCCTGTGTGGAAACAGGCCAGGGGCTGGAAAGGGCAGCCTCCCTCCCCATCAGGACCTGCATGCTGAGACCTGGCTCAGGACCCACGGTCCGGTGGCTCCTGCCCTGGTCCACCCAGCAGGGCCTTCCCTCCCCTCACAAACAGTGAAGAGGGCAGGTGGACTGAAAGCTGACCTGGGTGCTGCCAAGCTGCCCAGACATGCCGATCCTGGCTTTTGGTTAGGTGTGGATGTGGTGGGCAGTGCGCGGGGCTCTGCTGGGTTGCTCTCTGTTAGCATCTCTGTGGGACCCTCCCAGCTAGATACTGAGTGGGCCTCGCAACCACGCTCTGGGTCTCTGAAGTGTCCCTCCTGCTGGGTCACCACCCCCAGGAGCCCTCTCTCCAGGAATTCTGGGAGGCCAAGTTGCTATGGTGGCCAGAGCTATTGCAGCGTCCAGAGAGCTCAGGCTCAGGGCCTGTGGCAACAGAGGGGAGTGTGCCCCCTGCAGGCTGTGCTCAGTGCCAGCATAGCTCACCCACGGCAGACCAGACTCCAGCCTGAGCCTGCATTGTACAGACGAGGAAACAGACTGAGGAAGGGGAAGGTCATTCCCACCCCAGCCCTGAGCCCCCTGGGAGAAGCCTCTGCTCTGCCCTTTTGACTTTAGCTGGAAGAGCCGGGTTCTTTCCAGGCTGGGGACACCTCCTTCCGGGCAGGGAAACCCTTTCTGGGAATTTGGAGCTGGACAAGGGAGGACCCAAGTGTCCTCAGCCAGGATCCGTGGCAGGTGGAGGGAGCAGGAAAACCTACCACAGAACTAACCTTGGAGAGGGGCCCCAAAGAGCCCTGAAACTAGGCAAAAGGCAGCAGCTGCCTTCCCAGCCTCATTTGCAGCTGGGAACTGTGCTGCACAGATGCACCTCCCGGGATGCTGAGGCCTGTCCCTGTCCCTTGCCCTATAAAGCCGGCAAGACTGGTGCTGCTCAGAGCAGAGTGGCCGGCTCCACTGCATCAGAGGTCTGGCACAGGCCTGACCCTCCAACAGCTTTCCCACCTGACCCTTCACACAGCCTCTTCCCACATGCCAGTGCATCTTCCAAGAAGGGCTTAGCCAGCCCTGCTGTCCACCTCAGCCACCCACTGGAGCTGCCTGGTGGTCAGCACAGCTCCCCTGGGGCCCCATCTTCTGAGGTGTCCATCCCATGGTGCCTGTATAAATAAAGAAATCAATTAAAGGCCTCGCAGGCAGACAGGCAGGATGCTACTCAGCTCTGGAGGCTCCTCGTGTGTGCTTGGCACCACCCTGTGCCCTGCATTCCACATCACAGTTTACCCTCACAGCTTCTGCAGGCAGACCTTCGTCCCCCCTCTCGGGGGGCCCCCCTCCCCTTTACAGATGAAGTTGCTGAGGCTGCCGGACAGCTCAGCTGCCCAAGGTTTGGCCAAGGAATGCAAGCCTCATTCTGGTCCTGGTCCTGCCCTGCCCCATTCTGGGAGCCCAGGCAGGCCCTATCCCTCTCTGGATCCTGCTGTATAAGGACCAAGAAGTGGCCCTGCGGTCTTACTCCTGTTGGCTTGTGCTCAAGAGCGTCCCAAGTCCCTGTGTGTCCCCGGCTCCCTCTGCCACACCACAGCCCTTCTCTATGGCTAAGCACCCCCAGCTCCATGTGGAAAACACAAGCTTGGGGAAGACTGTCCCCAGACAGCATCCAAAACTCAGGACACAGGGAGGCTCCCTGGAGGAAGTCCAGCTCCACCTCCAGCAAGAGCGAACCTAGCATCCACAGACCCACACATGCAACAGACACTGCGTAGACATCTACCCTGTTGGGTGCTCTCTAATTCTGGGGTCACAGTGGCAGGAAGGCAGTCCCTACACTCGTGGGCTCCGTGCAATGCTGAGGCAGACGATCAACAGACCAGTCTGCAACCCAGCCTGTCAGGGAGCAGCAGCACCAGGGAGGAGGCCGAACTGGAAGTGCTGCTTCGTGCAGGAGGGTCACGCGGGACTTCTCTGAGGAGATGGAATGAAGAAGCAGGGAGCCATGGAGATGCAGGAGGAAGAGCAATCCATGCAAGGGGTGCAGTATGTGCAAAGGCCCCGGGGGACAGTAAGGAAGCCTGCGGCCTGTGACCAGAGGGGGAGATAGGCCCCCAGCAGGGAGTTTGGGGGCTGTGGTAAGGATTCTGGGTGCCTGAGGCTGAGAGGACAGAACTCCTGGAGGGCCCTGCAATTTGGCGCTAAGGTTGACACTCAGCTAGGGTGGCAGGACTCTCTGGGCTGCCCTGAGCAGGACTGTGGTCTCCTAGCTACTCCTAGAGAAGCTCAGAGGCTTTGAAAAGAAGGAGGGAGGTGCCTGAGAGCTCCAGGATGCCCCAGAGGCAACTACTGGGGGAATTGCTTCAGTAAAGAGACTGCCAGGCATGGCCTGGGAGACCCTCTCCAACGGCTTCCAGATCCGGGTCTGTGCCCTCTTTTCATCCTCCCACCAGCCTCTTAGCAGCCACTGACCAAGTCTCGGAGGGTTCCCTGGCTCTGACCTAGCTGGTCAGGAGCCGGCACCTGGCCTCATCTTCCTGCCTCTGGTTGGAGGGACAGGGTGGAGTGCCAGGTGGGAGGGGCATATCCACATTGGTCCCGAATTCTCTTCCCGGCAGGTCCAAGGACGGAAAGGCAGTGTCAGGGCGCCACAGTCCTCATGCCCTGGTGATCAAGGAGGTGACGGAGGCCAGTGCTGGCACCTATACCCTCACCCTGTGGAACCCGGCTGCCGGCCTGCGGACCAACATCAGCCTGGAGCTGGTAGTGAATGGTACAGGCATCGTCACTGGATGGGAGGAAGGGCTTGGCCAGAGGGGGTGGAGAAGGGGTGGCAGACTCTGACTGACTGTCTTCCTGCACCCCAGTGCCCCCTCACATCCACGAGAAGGAGGCCTCTTCCCCCAGCATCTACTCCCGCCACAGCCGCCCGGCTCTCACCTGCACAGCCTATGGGGTGCCCTCACCCCTCGGCGTCCAGTGGCATTGGCGGCCCTGGACACCCTGCAAGACCTACACCCAGCGCAGCCTGTGAGTGTGGCTTCAGCCCCCGCCCACCCCACTCCATCCCAGGCCTTCATTGTGATTCCATTGCATGCACCTGCTCCCCAAAGCCTTCTCTAGGCCTAGCCCTGCTCCAAACAAACCTGCTCACAAATTCCATGGGGAGACATCTCGGAAGCCACCTCCCCAGCTTCTCCTTGTGTCAGCCCCCACCCAGCACCCCTGTCCCCCTCTGAAGCAAAGTCTCCAGCTATGCTGCTGTGTTATCAGGGAGGACCCCAGAGCATGTCGCGTCTCAGCTCCAAGGGGTCTCCTCCCTCTGCACAGGTGGCTCAAGGGTAGCTTGTGAGCTTGTGAGTCTCGGAGTGCAGCGAGCCCAGCACCGCCTTAACAGAAGAGCAATCAGATCAGAAAAGGGCGGGGACGGTCCCTAGTTCACACAGCTGCAAGCAGCCCAATTACTGAGCCACACTCCCCTTCAAGGAGTGGGTGTCAGTAGGGCAGAGAGGCTCCTGTCACAGACACGTGGGGCAGAAGTAAGGACAGCGTAGCCAAGCAGGGGACAACAGGAAAGGCAGTGCTGAGTTCCTAAAGGGCCAGAGGTTCGTGAAGCCCGAACTTGGGCCCTCATGCACTAGGGAGCCAGAGAAGGGCTTTGAACAGAGGAGTGGTAGGCAGACTGGAGGATCACAGACTGCGGAGGGGCTGACACCAGGCACCAGGGAACCTGGGGAGGAAGGCGGGAACAGCCCCGGAAGCAGAGGAACGGTGGCCTGTAGGGTAACTCAGCAGGAGTGGCCTCGGGACCCAAGCCAGCCTCGCCATGTCCAAGGCTCATAACTGTTTCTGCTGGTCCACATGGCCTTCAGGTCACTGTGGATGTTTCTAGAACCCACTGCCCTCTGATGCTCTACCATTAGGCTCTGTGTCACTGACCAAACCAGGGCGGGGGCGGGGGGTGTAGCATCCAGCTCTGCCCCACTAGTTATAGGCAAGGGCCTCTCTTGAGGCTGTTACATGCCCCCTCCCATCCCAGCATGACCCCAAGGTGCTAGGGGTGCACATCTGACCCTGGAGGCAGCCACAGCTCCTGGAAGGAGAAAGAAAGAGGTGGGGAAGGGGCTTCCTGAAACAGGAGTGATGACTTAGGTAGATTCAGGTGGGCGCGGCAGGAAGGGGCACAGCAGAAGTGGCCAGAGCAGCAGGGTATATGTGGGTGTATGTGGGGTGGTGGTCAGAGTGATGTCAGAGCCCTCAGGGGGCTGCTGCCTGGGGACCTCAGGGAGGAGGATGTGACGGGCACCTTGTGCAGGACCCTGTGGGTTAGGAGGTTGGAGTCAGTGGTCCAGCAGCAAAGTCCCCTGTCCTGCACACTAACCCTGGGCCCCATGGCGAGCCTGTCACAGGGTGGCATCCTGGTGATGTGCTCTCAGAGCTGTTCACTGCACTGCTCCTTGTGCCCAGGGCAGTGGCTAGGAGAGGGCCGGGCGTCCCAGAGTTCCAGATGGAACCCTCCAGACCTCTCGGCCTTGTCTGTCACAGAGTGAGCAAGTGACTTGGGTGTGACAGAGGCTTGACCCATACCCCCAGGCTGGGCCCTCCCTGCCCCACATCACTGAGTGGCCCTTGTCGCCTGGTCCCCTACAGCCGGCGGCAGCAACGGGATGGCATGCCACAGTGCCAGGACTGGAGGGAGCTGACCACACAGGACGCCGTGAATCCCATCGAGAGCCTGGACACCTGGACTGAGTTTGTGGAGGGGAAGAACAAGGTACAGCCAGCTGTGACACTGAGCAGGTCTGGCAGGGGAGGCAGTGAGGGGCAGTAGGGAGGAAAACTCGTCACTCGTGGGTTTCCTGTCTTCAACTTGCCTGGAGAGTTTGGGTGGTAACAGCTGAGAGTCAGATGAGCTTTCTGCAGTGTCATTGGATCTCAGCTCCCCTATCTGCAAGTGGATGGCAGGCCATACCTCTAACTGCTTCTCAGACGAGGATGCTGAGATCCCAGGCTGCTTAACCAACCATGGGCCCCAGCCACTCACAGGGCTCAGGGCTGAGGGTACAGGGAAACTAGGGGTCAGTGATATCCCCACAGAAGACTGCGGAGCTGCTGGTCTAGCCTGGGGGGCAATGCTGAGAAGAGGTCAGGGTGGGGGAAGGGGGTTGAACAAAGGCACCCACTTCCTACAGTCACTTCCTGTTTTCCTGCACACCTCCAATGCCTCTTCCTGTTCCAAGCCTGGCCAGGAAGTGCCTGGCTGGAGGGGGGCGCTCTTTGGATGGTAGGCAGGGCCTATAGCCCTGTCCCACCCCTGCCTCCCAAGCTTCCAACTCCCAAGAGGCTAGAGTCCTTCTGGGAGGCTGAGACCCAGTTCCTCTCCACGCCACTACCCTGGCACTAGGAAAGATGCTACAGGCAGTCCAGTGGCTATTATGAGCACGTCACAGGGATCTCATGTGGTGACTAGCTGCTGACCTTGGACCACAGCCTGACCCCATACCAGGAGTAGCTGACCCTTGAATAGGAATTGGAGTGGCACAACCTGAATTGGACTGAGCTCAGTGCCAGCTGGCTGCTGTAATCTCTTCAACATGCCCACTGACTGACTCGGTCACAGCCAGACTTGTGGCCCGTGTCACAGCCCATTTCAGTCATCCACTTCACTGCCCCTTGTTTGGGGGCAGCTACTACCTATCTTGCCCCATCCCTGGTCCTATCTCCCTATCTTGGAGCTTTGGCCAACTCTAGTCCAGAGCTTCAGTCTCCCCCATTATTCTAGTGAGCACAGCAGACTTCTTTGCAGGAAGGGAGGTTCTGGTGGGGGCCGGGAAGGGGACTCCAGCAGGGAATGGTCCATATGCCTGTACTCTGCCCAGACGGTGAGCAAGCTGGTGATCCAGGATGCCAACGTCTCTGCCATGTATAAGTGTGTGGTCTTCAACAAGGTGGGCCAGGACGAGCGGCTCATCTACTTCTATGTGACCAGTGAGTGACCAGACCACCCCCATGGCTGGCCAGTCCCCAGGGTGCAGGAGGGAGGAGAGCAGACTGGGGAGGAGATGAGGGACCCAAGTTGGGATGCACCAAGTTAGGGAGCAACAGGCAGAGCCCACTGGGCCCCTAAATTGGGGCAGGTGGGAGGCCATGAGCATATGGGCTAGGGCTTCAGTCCACTGGGGTGGAGAAGATTGTCCTGCAAGGGTGGCCTCCCACTCCACTGCACGGCTACACGCACCTTTCGTCCTGTGGAGGCTTCCTCGGATTTTTCAAATGGGTGAGTGACTTCAGGAAAGTTCAAAAGCCCGAGTGGGAATGGACAGTCACTGGGTCCAAGAGCACAGATAGAGCCAGTGATGCTCCTGTGGGCGGGGAGACGACAAGGCAGCCCAGGGATCCTGACCAGGAGTGGCCATAAAAAGTTAGTGGAGAAAGGGTTTCTAAGTGAGATGATCGTGGTCATGGCTAGGAGTAAGAAAGGGTGGGTCCGCAGGTCCCTGTGGCATCTGGAGACAAGGATCTGAGCTCTGAGAGAGGTAGGGTGGTGGCCCCATTGGGTTTCACCGAAAGAAATAAAGAAGAGAGATAGCTCACAGAGAGGGAGGGAGATGGGGCAGGAGGAGACCGCAGGGGCTGGGCTCCTACTCAAAGGACGGGGCCATAGTGCAGATGTGAGGAAGACTCGGGAGATGCCCTGGCCCGGAGATGGGCCAGTGCTCAGACTGTGATGGAAGCTGAGTGAGTTCAAGGTCTGATGGGAAAGGTGGGCATGAGGAGTGAGCGCCAGGCAGTGTCACTGCGGTTCTTTCTCCTTCCCCCAGCCATCCCCGACGGCTTCAGCATCGAAATGGACCCCACGGAGGAGCCCTTGGAGGGCCAGGCTGTGCGCCTGAGCTGCCAGGCAGACAACTACACCTACGAGCACCTGCGTCTGTACCGCCTCAACCTGTCCACACTGCACGACGCGCACGGCAGCCCGCTGCTGCTCGACTGCAGGAACGTGCACCTGTTTGCTACGCCTCTGGACGCCAGCCTGGCGGAGATGGCACCCGGGGAACGCCATGCCACGCTCAGCCTCAGCATCCCCCGCGTGGCGCCCGAGCACGAGGGCGACTACGTGTGCGAGGTGCAGGACCGGCGCAGCCACGACAAACACTGCCACAAGAAGTACCTGTCCGTGCAGGGTGAGATGGGGGACCCGGAGCCTGCCAGGCGCTGCAGGCGCGTTCCCCACCCCGCCTGGGAGGCACGAGGCTTTCCAGGCCCCAAACCCCAAGGGGCAGGCCCTCCTTTCCACGCTCAAATCCCAGACCCTTCTTTCAGCGGTCATGCAACCTTATCCCTTGGGGGCCCTCCCCACCCTCTGGCCAGCCCTAAAGGGGTCCTTCCTGAGGGCCCTGGCAGCTTCTCTTAGCTCCCCCACCCCACCCCTCCCGCAGCCCTGGAAGCGCCCCGGCTCACACAGAACCTGACCGACCTCCTCGTGAACGTGAGCGACTCCCTGGAAATGCGGTGCCCTGTGGCCGGGGCCCACATGCCCAGTATCGTATGGTACAAAGATGAGAGGCCACTGGAGGAGGAGTCCGGTAGGGGCTGGTGAATCTGGGAGAAGGGCGGGGTCCTGCATCCCAAGACCCGCCTGAACGTGAACTCCACCCATCTGCAGGCATTGACCTGGCAGATTCCAACCAGAAGCTGAGCATCCAGCGCGTGCGCGAGGAGGACGCGGGCCGGTACCTGTGCAGCGTGTGCAACGCCAAAGGCTGCGTGAACTCTTCCGCCAGCGTGGCGGTGGAAGGTCTCTGAGCCCCCGCCTCCCTCTCCACTTCCACGTCTCGTGCAAGCCACCCCATCCCACCAGAAGGGGCGCTGTCCTCAGTGCGCAGCCCTGCGCGGGCTGGGACCACCGCCAACACGCACCCCTTTCTGCCCCTCAGGGTCGGAGGAGAAAGGCAGCACGGAAATCGTGATCCTCGTGGGCACTGGGGTCATCGCCATCTTCTTCTGGGTCCTCCTCCTCCTCATCTTCTGTAACATGAGGAGGGTGAGCGTGGCTCCCTGTGGCGCCCTTCCCAGCTCCCCTTGGGGTCACTCCTGCTTTCCCCACCCTGATGCCCCAGCCTCACCCAGCTCGAGCCTTGCCGGGCTCCGGACAAAGCAGAGATGTTCCGCCTGCCCCCTCCTTCATGGAGAGCCGCAGCCCCTCCTTCCGGGTTGATGTTACACCCTCAGTATGGCCGAAGCAACGACCAGCGTGTCCCCCTCCCCTCCCCAGCCGGCCCACGCTGACCTCAAGACCAGTTACTTGTCCATCATCATGGACCCGGGTGAGGTGCCCCTGGAGGAGCAATGTGAATACCTGTCCTACGATGCCAGCCAGTGGGAGTTCCCCCGCGAGCGACTGCACCTGGGTGAGGCCAGCCCCCACCCCCCACCCCACCGCCCCACACCTGCCCTGACCTCAGAGGGCGCTGAAGCTGCAGCCCAGCCTGCACAACCTGGAGCGCCTCGCAGTCCTCCACTCTCAGAACTTGTGCCAGGAGGGCCCGCCTAGCCCCCGCCAAGCCTGACCTGTCCATCTGGGCCTGCGTCCCCAGAACTGTCCCGGGCTCCCAGTTCCCAGGCCCCCGAGGTCACTTCCTGCTGCTCCGGGCAGGGTGGGTCTGTCACACCTGCTGGAGAGGATGCGAGGTCTTCCTGCCTGCTCTCCTCTCCCCTGCCTGCTGCTGCTCCCCTCGTTCTTCCTGTTTGGCGCAGGCGCTCGGAGGCCCCCACAGCCTGGCCGCGCCTGCTGCCCACTCGTTTCCACCCTCACCCCATCCGGCTCACCTGGGACCCACTCCTCACCCCTACAGGGAGAGTCCTCGGCCATGGGGCCTTCGGGAAGGTGGTGGAAGCCTCGGCTTTTGGCATCCACAAGGGCAGCAGCTGCGACACCGTGGCGGTGAAGATGCTGAAAGGTACGGGGTGAGGGAGTGGAACGGGGCTGTCAAACCATCGAAGAGCAGCCGCTCCGTAGTGGGCTGTGCTGTAAGAAGGGAAACTGAGGCTCCGACCTAGAGAGGCTCACGCAAGGTTCTACAGGGACCTTCTGGGTACGACGTCCCAATCCCACCTGAACCTGGCCTCAGAGGGGCCAGCAGGACGTGTTAGGGACCCTGCGCCATCATGCCTTAGCCAGTAGTTGGGGACCCAGAGCCATCATGCCTTAGCCAGTAGCGGCTGCAGGCACTAGGACAGAAACCCCGGGTGAGCCGGACGCATCTCCAGGCTCCCGTGTCCCCTCCAGAGGGTGCCACAGCCAGCGAGCACCGCGCCCTGATGTCGGAGCTCAAGATCCTCATCCACATCGGTAACCACCTCAACGTGGTCAACCTCCTGGGGGCATGCACCAAGCCCAACGGTGAGGAGCTGCAGGCCCCTGGCAGGGGGAGGTCGGGGAGGTGAGCCAAGGGCCAGGTTTAGTCAAGGAGCTGGCCCTCGAGGTGGGAGGGGCCTGTGCTTAGAGTGGGCGGGGCCTGGGCACAGGGCGGGGCAGAGGGAGGTGGAGAGTGGTGGCTAGTGTCTGGGTGGGGCGCTACTGAGGGGCTGGCTCTCCATCACTCAGTGTCTCCCTTCTCTCCTACCCACCCCGCTCCCAGGTCCCCTTATGGTGATCGTGGAGTTCTGCAAGTATGGCAACCTCTCCAACTTCTTACGTGCCAAACGGGACTCCTTCAACCCTTACGCGGTAGGTGCCCGCCTGCACAGCAGGAGCACGCTGGGGAGCCACTGGAAGGCCGTGATGGGAGGGATTCTCCTGCGGAAGGGGGCGGGGCAGAAGCAGTTGGCCAGTCTAGGACCCGTGATGTGTCACCTCAGGAGAAGTCCCCAGAGCAGCGAAGGCGCTTCCACGCCATGGTGGAGGGTGCCAAGGCTGATCGAAGGAACCAGTCTGGAGGCACCGACAGAGCCCTTCTCTTGCGCCTACTGATGGGCAAGGGCGTGGCAGGACGGGCACCTTCGGCCCCAGAGGGTAAGAGGCGTTGTTTCCCGTGCCCAAGGCGGCAGACTGGCACAATGAAACCACAAGAGCAGGGAATCCTGGGATAAACCGTTCTGGTCCCCTCCCTGGAGGCTTTACCCTCTGGCCAGGGCCACTGCGGGCTGCAGGTGGAGGAGAAGTTACACAGTATAGCGTGCCTTAGGAAAGGAGGACACCGCAGGGACATTCCAAGAGACGCTGGACCTGAGCATCACAAGATGAATAGACGTTTGCTTCACAAATGGGAGCAGTTCAGGTCAAAGGCCCAGTGGCATAACAGAACTTCATAGATCCTGGACAGAGTAATAGGTGTCCCAAAGAGACTGGGGGCAGGAGAAGGGCTGACAGGCTTGTTAGCTGATTCCAGGGCAAGGTCGAGGGGAGGCTAGGTCATGAGGGCTGTTGTCAGAGATGCCACCCTTTGGAGTTGGAAGCTGAGAGTCCTAGAGGAGGCACCTCCTGAGCCCACCTTACACTTTCCTGCCTGCCTGCAGCAGAAGACCTATGGCTGAGCCCACTGACCATGGAAGACCTTGTCTGCTACAGCTTCCAAGTGGCCCGGGGGATGGAGTTCCTGGCCTCCCGCAAGGTGAGCTGCCTCCTAGCAGGCCCTTCAGAGGGGAGACAGGAACACAGGCACCTGTGTGGAAAGACAGGCTCAACCCTAACTTCACCCTCATAAGGACCCTGTGGTCCAGCGGGGTCCACAGACCTAGAGTGTGGAAGTGGCTTTTCCAAGGTCTCCCAGCTAGTCAGTAGCATATGGATGTGGATCAGAATCTGCATGACTTCCCAGTTGCTCTGCCATGCGGACAATCCCATGAGCCATCTCTGTGGCCAGTCCTGGGGACACACAGACTCAGAGTTCATGTGTAAACTGCCAACCAAGAATAACTCAGAAGAGCAGGGTGCCTAGGCGCTCCAGGCATGGGTGTCACCGGGCTGATACTTGGATGACGCCTACCCCACACCTTCCATGCCCCTAGTGCATCCACAGGGATCTGGCTGCCAGGAACATTCTGCTGTCAGAGAGTGATGTAGTGAAGATCTGCGACTTTGGCCTTGCCCGGGACATCTACAAAGACCCCGACTATGTCCGCAAAGGCAGCGTGAGTGCAGGCCCCTGAGAGAGGGGAAGGTGGTGGTCATGGGTAGGTACAGAGGGCTTGTGGGGTTGGAGCCCAGGAGAGGGCTGATACGGGGTCTGCCAGGCTCCCAGGATCCAGTCATGGACATGCAAACGTAAACCCCACCAGATGGCCATTTTCCCCAGGGCAGGCCTGATGTTTGGGGGACAGTGTGTGCCTCTCTGGTAGCACTGAGCATGGAAGGTGCCTGAACGAGTGTCCAAGGCGGATCAGGTGCTTACTGCCAGGAGAGGGAAGGAGGTTGGGAGCAGGGAGAGAGAGGAGCAGGGTGAGCCCATCGTAGGCCATCACAGGTCACTGCCTCAGCTTCTGTCCTGTATGGAGCATGTGGCGGTGAGGGACCAGTGCCCAGTGGGCAGTTACAGAAGCTGCTCCTCCACCCCAACCCCGGAGCTTTGAGGAGAAGGGCATGGGGTGAAGAGAGGAGCCGGAGGTAGAGGCCATTGGGAGAGAGAGGTCGGGGAGAAGCGTAAGGAGGGAGAGGCCACTGGAAGGAGGAGGTCAGGAGTGACCCCAGGCTTCTAGTGAAGGGGCAGGACAAAGTGTGTTTGCAAGGTGGAGCTGCCAGAGGAAAAGAGCATTTGGGGCAGATGGTGAGGGCATGTGGGACCTGGTCCCATGGGAGCTGGTCAGGAGCAAGAGGAGGTGGTAGAAGCAGCCCCCACACCCCTCAGAGGAAGAGCAGGGTCAGGCAGACCCAGGAGAACTGCAGGGAAGAAACCTTCCAGGGAGACCTTCAGAGGGAAGTGGGGAAGGCAAGGCACAAGGCAGGGAAGGGCCCTCAGAACCCCAGAGGGGTCAGAGGGCTGGAGAAACCGGGTTCACCCCACGCATCACACTTCCCTCTGCAGGCCCGGCTGCCCCTGAAGTGGATGGCCCCCGAGAGTATCTTTGACAAAGTGTACACCACACAGAGTGACGTGTGGTCCTTCGGGGTACTGCTGTGGGAGATCTTCTCCCTGGGTGAGTGCTGCGGCTGGATCCACCACCCCACCACTGTGAGAGCTGGGGGTCGGGGGTGGTCTCAGCTCCCAGAGGACTTGGCCTCCAACAGGGCCCTGGCACCTCCTCTGGAAGGCTGTGTGCACAGCCACCGCCCCAGGATCTAGATGGGCATGCTCCAGGGACTCACCCTGGAGCTCCAGGGGGGCACCGTGCCCAGGTCTCCCCCTCAACTCTACTTCCCATGAACTCAGCCCCTTCCTGGTACTTTCGCTCTCCCCACCAGCCACCTAGAGTTGGGAAGAGGTTGAGAAGAGCCTGAGCACCCCAACTTCTGCAAGCTCACACTGGACCAGCCCACCCAAACCCCCAGCTAGTGGTGGGCAGGCAATGAACAAGGGAGACAGTGAAAATACCAGCATAGGCACCAGGGCTCAGTGTTATTATTGAAAACAGGGCACACAGGGGGGACCCCGGGTGGGGCAGTGATGAAGCCCTCACCTGGTAGGTCAGTGTGGTCCCAACCCTGTGGGAGAAAGAGGAGGCAATCCGCTCTGTAAAGATTCACAGCCTAGAAACCCCAGGGAGCAGTTCACCCCGGTCTGACAGGGTGGACCTTGAGTCTCCACGGCTTCATGGCAACGGTCTTTAATTTTCCTTTTAAAGAATACAGAAACAGCATATGTGCAAATGTGCTTGACACACTGGATGAATGTATGGATTGTGATAAGAGATGCAAGAGCCCCCAATAAAAGTATTTATGAAAAAAGAGTACAAGAAACAGAGGACATGTATAAGTCGCAGGGATCCGAGAAGGGGCCCTGGCAGTACAAACATTTGTTGGTAATGAGCTCGGGGCTGGCTGAAAGATGGAGATTGCAGGCCACCAAAGGGCACCTCTGAAAAAAAGGCCAGGTGATCTATTAAAAAAAAAAGGAAAAGCTACTGAAAACAGCTCCATTTTGTCACCCATTGGGTAGACTGGGGTCCGAATGGACTGCTCAGCCACTGGGTTGGAATGAAGGGTGGGCGGGTGAAGCAGGGGCCTTCCAGGGCAGCTAAGCCAGGAAAGAGCAGCCAGGCCCTGCCCCGGCTAGTGTGTTGAAGGTGCTCAGGGCCCAGCAGAGTAGGCGGGGACTTGGGAAAAGTGCTTCAGAGGCAGTGAGGCAGGAGGGGTGGGAGAGGCAGCCAGCCAGGCCCTGTGGCCAAGTGAGGACTTGGGACCTTTGTCTCAGGGAAGCCACTCTGGGGCTCTGAGTGAGCGACAAATGCCATCACTTTTAAAAGAGTCCTTCTGGCCGCTGAGTGAGGACTGGCCAGCGGGCAAGAGGAAACAGAATGACCAGCTAGGGCGACTCTCATGAGTTTGTATCACAGAGATGTGACCCCTGGGTCAGGATCCATGGGAGAAGTGGGTTTGGGATGAGGAGCTGACAGTGCTTAAGAGGGACTGGGTTGGGAGGCTAGGGATGGCCTCCCCCAAGAGGGGTTGTTGAGGCAGGCGAGGGGCTTGGTTCTTGCTGAACTAGCTGGCTCGTGTCCTCTGATGATCCTGGTAACCGTGTTTAAGCTAGTGTGCCTTGCCTGCCTACTGCGTTCCACACACTTGGCATAGAGACCATGCCCGTATGCATAGCAACCACAGCCAGTCAAGAGTCAGAGCTCAGGGAGGGAGGGGAAGGGAGGGGCGGGAACTGGTGTGGGCCCCCTGGGAGCAGTGGAAAGGGCACCCTACTATGGATGAGGGGTGGCAGTTGGCTGGCCTGTGGGGTGCCTACTTCTGACTCACGCCATCCTGGTCATTTCTGTTATCAGGAGCATCCCCGTACCCTGGGGTGCAGATCAATGAGGAGTTCTGCCAGCGGCTCAAAGATGGTACCCGGATGAGGGCCCCAGAGCTGGCCACTCCTGCCATGTGAGTGTCCCTCTCCAAGGGACCAGGAGAGGAGGTGGTTTGGGCAGGGGTGCTACATTCTATCACTCCAATCTCTCCACATTCTTCCATGCAATAACTCCCTACTCTTCCATGCAATAACTCTTTTCAGCACCTGCTTGAGAGGTGGGGGGAGGAGACAGCACTGACTATAAAGGCCAGCATGGACTAGCACTGGTCTGGCAGCTCCGCTAGGCACACGGACCACCATGTAACCATGACTGAGATGGGGGACACCGAGGGGGCCAGGCATAGCCAGTGATCAGAAAAGTGTGTCCACAGAAGGATACTGAGCTGAAAGGTGGGAGGGGCCTGAAGCAGGCTAAGGTAGCGCACTGTGTGTGTGTGTGTGTGTGTGTGTGTGTGTGTGTGTGTGTAGGGAGGGGGCGAACTGGGGGAGGAGTGGTGGAGACTGCTCAGACCACAGTCCTACATTCTGGCTTTACCCTACTCCCTCCTGCCCCCCAGACGTCGCATCATGCTAAGCTGCTGGTCAGGAGACCCCAAGGCCAGACCTGCATTCCCGGAACTGGTAGAGGTCCTGGGGGACTTGCTGCAGGGCGGGGGCCAACAGGTGAGTCCCTCCTTTTGTCCTGATCCTTTCCCCTGGGCCTCCCTGACCAGGGTCAGCCTTCCAGGGCCAGCTACCTGCACTCCTACCTCCATGGTGGCCACTCAAGATAGAGACTCAGGCATCTTCCTGCTGAAAACACACACCCAGACATACACACACACACCAGTGCCTCTCTAGCCATTGTGGGGAGGGTCAGAGCTGGCCCTTGTCCACAGGGAGCCCAGGCCTTTATAAACAGCATCATGGTGATGGCGTGGGCACTGCGTTTCTCGCGCCTCTGCCATGGTTCCTCACTGGGCCTGCAAAGCAGTTCCTCACCTGCTGAGCCCAGCCCCAAGGACCTCAACTCCCTCGTCTCCCACCTCACCTCAGGCCCACTTCGTCTCTGTAACTACCAAGCCCACAGACCTGTGTCGCCTGTGTCCGGACACACCTCTCTTTCCGTGCTCCTCAGAGGCGGGGCCCAGAGCCAGGTGGGGCCAGGGGTGGACACAGCAGGGGAGAAAGCAGTTGCCAGATTGTCCCCCAGCTTCCCCGGAGCTGAAGATAGGCACTCAGGGTCGGGTTCTGCCCTGAGACTCATTCATATCGACTTCTGGAGCTGCTGAAACAGCCAAGGGCCCTGGAGTGAGGACATGCTGACGGAGTCCTGGGCTGTCCCTCACCCCCCCACCCTCACTCCCCTTTAGGGTGCCTTCCTCATCTGAGAAATGGAGGGAGGGAGGTTGTAAGAATTTAGGAAGTTCGGCACACAGCAGACATTCCCACGTGGTGCCAACGGTTAATGCTAACCAAAATGTTAGAGGTTCACACCCCCATAGGTACCTCAGAAGAAAGGCCTGGTGGTCTTCTCCACAAAAATCAGCCATGAAAAACCCTGTGGAGCACAAGTCTGCGCCAACACACACGGGGCCCCACCGAGAGCAGAATCCACTGGTGTCTCTGGTAGCGTGCAGCAAGCCTTGTTAGCCCCCAAGTTCCCTGGTGCTCACACTGAGGCCACAGGTGTTCCAGGTCCCACCGCTGTGAGAGTCCAGTTCTCCAGGGAAGACAGTCAAGGGCTAGTGTGGGGCTGCCCGGGCATTGCTACATAGGGTGTCTGACCTCGATGCCTGTCCTGCCCCTGCCAGGAGGAGGAGGATTTCATGCCCCCTCGAGGTTCTCACAGCTCAGAGGAGGGCAGCTTCTTGCAGGCATCCACCACGGCCCTGCACGTGGCCTGTGCCGACTCTGAAGACAGCCCGTCCAGCCTGCAGCGCCACAGCCTGGCGGCCAGGTCAGCCGCCTTGCAGGGTCCTTGTAGAAGATCAGACTCCGGTTTCTCTAAGGCTCAGGGAGCCTGGGAGTACTCCTCTCCCCCACTCACACTTTCCAGGGCCATGGACTTGGGGGGGGCATGCTCACCCTCTGGAGGTGGGGCCTGGGGTGAGGCCCAGATCCTCATGCCCCAGCCTCAGGGTCCATCGTGGGAGCAGGGGTATGGGGGGGGGGGGCATGCAGAGAAGGAACATGGGCGAGAGCTTGGAGGGTGGGGGCTATTGGGGTGGGTTTCTCCAGCCCACCTTTTCTCCTTTTCAAAAGGTTTCTCCTTTTGCCCACCACAGATACTACAACTGTGTGTCCTTTCCCGGGTGCCTGGGCCGAGGAAGTCAGACCCAAGGGTCCTCCCGGATGAAAACGTTTGAAGAATTTCCCATGACCCCAACGACCTACAAAGCCTCTGCGGTGAGCAGAGCCCTGGTGTTACCTGGGAAGAGGGGCTGTGGGCTTTGGGACCTGGGCTCACTCTCTAGGGGGGCAGTCAGGAACGCTGATAGCAACCAGCTCAGACATGCTGGGCAGATGGGCAGAAAAGGGAGCCTGGTGTCCCCGGAAAATGTTGCGTGCAGGGGAGTGCACAAGACGCCTCTGTCCTTCAGCCTCCGCCTGCTGTGTGCTGCTGCTGTCACCCCCACCGTCTAGCCCACCCCCCACTCCCAGCCCCCGTGGAAGGCAGCTCCTCTTTCTCGGTGGCGGTCTGTGGAGCAGCCTGAGTCGTGGTCCCCATTCGGTGGAGGTCAGCGCCACCAAGCCACTTGGCCTAAAGAGTCGGGGCTGGCCCTGTAAAACCCAGGAGCTTCTCCTGGTGGTGACACCGGTATTATTGGATGCAAATGAACGAGTGTAGCTTGAAAGATGTAGCCCCTGAGGTTCTTCCGGGTGTTTCCAATTTGTAAAAGGACTCTGAGGCTCCCAAATGTAAATTCCCAGAGCGCGGGGCGATGGGTCTGGGGCCTGGTCAGTAAATGCTGGGTTCGGGGCAGTAGAGCAGTGGGGAATCTGACTGGCATCCCTGTCTCCAGGGCCAGGTGAAGATTGTAGAGAGTTCCAAGCTCTGAAAAGATTGCAGCCCCTCTTGCGTCATTCCAAATAAAACTCTTTCTGGGTAGCAGTGCCCCACTAAAGTCAAACTATTCTTCCATGGTGATTATTTTGTTAAACTGTGAGCCATCTGTCCCATCCTTTCAAATCTTTTTGCTTGGTGCTCCTGCTCTTAGCAGGTGCAGGGCCCATGTGACACCCCTCCCCACCCCCACCCCCACTTAGGGTGGCTTAACTTTCCTTAGCTTCCCCATGGAATCAAAGGTTCTCCCTCTGTGGAGTGGGGTACCTGACCCTTCTCCCTCAGGCTCTGCCCAGGTTCTCACTTAGTTCCAGCAGAGGGGATGTTTAACGCAGCGAGTGGTTCCACAAGTGACAACCCATGCATCCCTCCTGGCTGGGGGACAGCTGCCCCAAAGAAGGCCTTAGAGTGGGGCCACAGCCCTAGGCTTGCTCTCTCCGCACAGGATAACCAGACGGACAGTGGAATGGTGCTGGCCTCTGAGGAGCTTGAGCGGATAGAGAACAGACATAAACCAGAAGGCGGTTTCGGGTAAGGTACCTTAGTGTCCTAGGGTGGCTTGTCAGAACAGACCTGTGTTGTCTCACAGCTGGGCAGGCTAGGAACCCTGCTGGCAGTAGGGGCATGCTCTGTCTACTCTAGGGGAGATCCTTCCTCATCTCTGCAGCTTCTGCTTGCTCCAGATAGCTCTTCACTGGTCGTCTTTGCCCTGTGTCTGTGTCTCTTCATTCCTTTCATAAAGACCCAACTCAGATGGGATTAGGACTCGGCTTATCCAGTATGACTTCATGGTAACTGGTTATATCTGCAAAGACCTTGTTTCCTAACTTAAGCCTTATGCTTAAGTACCCAGTGTTAGGACTTCAACATATTTACTTGGGAGACACAATTCAATCTGCACCATAAGGCCTTCGACACTTCTTCCCCTACAAGAATGGGACGGCCCACTCCAGAGTGGTCTGAGCAGGAGCTGGTAACTCTGGGAACTGAAAGCAGGGCCTACTGATGACATAACATAACACGGCATCACATAACTCACTACCATCAAGTGGATGCCAACTCATAGGACACAGTAGACCTTCTCCAGTGGGTTTCCAAGTCTGTAACTCTTCCCTGGAGTAGAAAGCCTTCTCTTTCTCCCACAGGTGGTTTTGAACTGCTGACCTTGAGGATCGCAGCCCAATGCATAACCACTATGCCATCAGATTTCCTTAAGACCCAGTGAGGGAGGCCATTATTCTCTTACTCAAAACCTTTCTAGCTCCCTATTATCTTTTTGGTGTATTCAAGGCAAAACACTCCAAAGATTCAAGGTCTTTAGCAACCCAACCTCCTGAACACATCACAGTCCTCCACAATCATCATGACCCAGCAGCACAAGCAGAAGCCAGTCCCCAAAATCACCCTTTCAGGCTCCCACTCTCAAGCCTGCATTCAGCCGCCAGATGTTCTGATGCCACCTCTTTGTGAAACCACACATGACCTGCCATCCTCATTGTGTGCACACTTCCCCCAGCCAGGAAGAAGCCAGCCCATTCCCTGGCCCCAGCGCTCAGCCCCCAGTCGCCTTCAGAGCCAGGCTGATCATGTAGGCTGGCTCTGGCAGGTCCCACCATGGGATAAGAATAGGGCTCTGGAGCAGTACGCATGTCTGCCCATACTGAGAGTGACCCTCATAGAGGGTGAGTTCTCTTTGCCCAAGGAGAAGACATCCCAAAATGGAAAGGGTTTTTTTTAGAATTTAAACTATTTTTTTTAATTTAAACTTTTAAGGGTACAGATCAAAGAGTTAAGTAACTACCTAGGACATTCACTTTATGGATTTACTTACACACACCTGTTTAAATGAATTGCTCATTCCCACTTTAAGAAACAATTTCATTCCAATCATTCAACTGCACCTTGAACTCTCTTTGTCAAGAGCTACCTTTTGAATTATCCGACACGTTTTTCACTTTTACATAAGCCGCTTTTGAATCAATATTTGGTTTAGTCACAGAAAAATTTTCCTCAAAACCACAGGTATATTTGTTTGTGTAACATTAGGGTAGTTGCTATCATTTTTCAGATTTTTAAAACGTATTTATGACCAATACAGCTTAATCAGCTGGTTCCTTTTACACAGCCTACAAATGATGTGTTTGCAGCGCTGCAAACACTGGCAACTGTGAGATCATGCCCAGGAGTGATTTGTCCCGTGTCTCTGTCCTCTCCCCACTTTTTTTTTCTTTTATTGATTCCATCAGGTGACTTCTATTACCAAACTCTCTGCCATCGAGTTGATTCTGACTCATAGTCACCCTATAAGGCAGAATAGAACTGCCCCTGTGGGTTTCTAAGGCTATTGATCCTTCTAGAAGCAGGAAGCCTCATCATTCTCCCCCATAGGGGTTGCTGACCTACACGTAACGCCTATACCCCGAGGACTCCTTCTGACTCCTCTTAGTAACCTAGTTCAGGAAAATAAGCTGCATTGACAGAATATATTTGGGTTGATGGTTTTTTACCAGAAAAGATTTTATCATTCAAAAGAAAGGAAGTAAGTAAAAAGGACAACTAACTGCTTAAATTCAATCTTTACATAACCTCCTAAAAAGGACTCAGATCATCAAAGAGATCGAAGAAAGGCACTCATAGCCATGCCTACAGTGTAAGCAGAGACACTTCAGTATACGCACTAAGCACTCCAAACGAGCAGAGCCGAGCCCCAGCCCAAGGCAGAGCCTAAGCCCAAGCCCCAGCCTGATCCCGAGCCAGAGCCCAAGGCAGAGCAAGCATCCGGTGAGACTGTAGAAAGAGAAGAGTGAAGCAAAGCCCTGGGAACAAAAGGCACCTGAACTGGGGACATGATGGAGGAGATATCCGCTCCAAGGTGAAAGTCTGAGGTCCAATGGGTGTGTGTGTGTGGTGAAGACCATGCTTCAGAAAAGGCCATGCACAGGAAGAGAATGCTGGACCCCCAATGCTTGGAGATGAAAGAAAAGAAGAAATTGTTCTATGGGAAGCAAAATGAATCCATTTGTGGAAGAAACTGCATGTCACTCTAGAAGCAATAGAGGGTACTCTTCCCTACAGGCTGTATAGCAGGTGCGTTCTTATGGAATGTTATCCAACAAAGTCTGAAGATAGAGGGTTGTGTGGAGAGGTCTGCGAGACTAACCAGTCATCCTATGGGCATGTAAGTCTTCCTCCCCACTGGAAGTAAATGCCCCCTCACTTGCAGTGCTGCATTATTTGCCTCTTTTCATGGCCAGGCAGAATTCCAGAAACAATCCCCATAGTATAATGCTTTCTCCAAAGCTATCAGTGAAAGGAAGATCTATAAACTCTAGGTTGTGGAGCATGACAGTAGCCCATGAGGGAGTCCAGCCCACTCTAGTGATTAGTTGACCCCTGGGGATGGTACAGTATGGAATATGAAAGCAGATTTAGGAAAAAGGATACAATCAAGGGGATCTGAAGTGTACCAAAGCTGTGGGTCTAACACAACTCTCTTAGATGAAGAAGCTTAGGCACCACCCAAATTCCTATCCCTTTCCATAGAATACCCTGCTATTCCTGGTCCAGAAAATGCTCGCATGAATAATCAAAAGCAAAAAAGTTATTGTAAAAATAAAATCCATGTTATTAAAAAAATGCGAATAGGTCTCTTTAGTAAATGTAAACACTAAGAAGAACAAAAAGGGGTCCGGCCCAAGTTGCTGACCATGAAGTTGTGCGCTGAGCGCGTCAGAGCCAGGCCGGGCTGACCAGGATGATCACGATGTGAAGCTGGCCATCTTCGCCAACATGCCGGGCGTGTCGCCCGTCTTGCTTGTCGTTCCCTCTCACTACGTGGCTGTCAACAGTCCTGAGGAGCAGGAATGAGAGTGGCTTCCTCAGTCCCAGGGCTCCAGGCCATCGTCCGAGGCGAGATGGAGGGTGTGCGGGTGTTTTAAAAAGAAGAACAAAGGGAATCCAACACTCCAAGATGGCTTAAATATGTAACTAATGCGGCAGCTGCACTAGAATCAGAAATTCAAAAATTCAGACTAGAAGTGGACAAACAATATGAAGATATAAAATGAGACCTGATTAAATTCAGGAAAGAGATGGCAAGAAAAGATCAATCTGTTCAAGGATGAATACCGGGATGCCAAAGGAAAATAGGTATGACCAGACTTCCAGTTAGGGACACAGAGAACAGACATGAAAAGGCTTATGAAAATGAAACAAATAAATAGTTGAGGAGCATCATAAAGAAAATGATCAACATTCTAAAAAATGAAAAAAAAATCCACCATATGTAAAACTGGAGTCCCTGGGGAAGGTATCCAAACAGTGGAATGTTATGAATATTTTATATGTATTAAGATAATGCTCCTATTTTTAAAAAATATGAATCTAATGTAATTTAAATCCCCCTCCAAACCTGGGAAAATAACTCCTAACAGCAAACTCTGAGATATATCCCAGTAGAGCTATTCAACTTCCAAGACAAGAACCCTGGAAATCCAAGCCAAACAGATAAAGTCACACATAGAGAGAGAGAGAGAAGTTGGCATCAGGTTTTTCAACAGCACTATACAAAGAATAATGATAAAATAACAATTTCAAAAACTTTAAAAAAAAAAAGTGAGAGCCAAAGGTGGACCATCATAGGTGGAGACAGGGAGGCAGGGATTTGACCCTGGGGCTTCCTTAGCCGTGGTGAAGTTTGTGTTTCCTCCTAAGAGTGCTGGAAGGCCATTGAAGGATCTGTCGATGAAAGAATGTCTCTGGAGATTAGACTGTGGGGAGGCAAGAGTGGAAGAAGAGAGGCCTGCTAGAAGGAAGGACGTTACAGAACGTGTGATGAGGACCGACTGCTCTAATACCAGGGCAAAGCACTATCGAGATACGGATGGATACATGTTGGAATTCGAATGGACGGATTCTGGATGGGTGCCTATGTCGGGTAAGGACATGGGAGGAAATTAAGAGGACATCTGCCTGTTCAGTTTGAGCACCTGAAAGGCTCAAGCAACGGGGATGGGCAAGACGAGGAACAATGTAGACTTGAGAGAGTCCTGTAGCCCTGTGCCCAGACTTGGGACAAAGAAGTATTTCTGAGTATTTGCTAAACTTAATCAGACTCACTGGCTTTTCTATGTCAAGTCTGTTTGCTTTTCCTTCTGTCTTTGAGTTTGTTCCAGGGTGTCTTTAATTATTCCAAACAGACCCTCACTCAGGTGCAACCCAACCTCTCCTCTTGCCTCTCTAAAGCCTTCTTCCTTGTCTTGGCAGCTGTAAAGGACCTGACCTGAAAGTGGAGATGATCAGGGTACACCCAGATCCCGAAGGGATGCGGCGGCGGCCCAATCAGGAGGCACAAGGAGGCCAGGTGTTTTACAACAGCGAGTACGGAAAGCTGACAGAGCCGCATGAGGAGGGGGACTGTGCCCCATCGGCCTGCGAGCCCTTCTTCACAGACACCAGCTACTAAAGCCGCACTGGGCAAGGCCCCCACTTCTAGCTGATCCTGGAGTCCAACAGGTGGGGGGGCCGTGCCTAGCAGGGTGAGCAGAAGACTGGGGCCCAGGTGGGAACTCATCTCCTCAGGCTGCGGAGGAGCTTCCTCTACCCTCTCTACGGCCTTCTTAAGCAGGAAGAGCAAAGCTGCCAGCTCAAGGGCTCCCCTAAATTCCACCACCAAGCCTAGAGCCACCTTCGGGCCTCTCCTCTCTCTGAATCAGATTCCATATAGATCAGTGTCTGCATGTGCCAATCTGGCACTCCCATGGAGAATGGCTCCTTGATTACCTCCTCCCATCACTGTGGGTAGATGGCATGGTCCCATTTCCTAATGAGGAATCAATGGATCTGAGGATCACTTGGCGATCAAGGTAGAGCTACACTTGAGCCAGGCCTCCTGTCCTGCCCAAAATTCTCCCTTCCCATGGGAAGTGGCTTCCCCCCCCACCAACTGCCTCTCAGAGGCTGAAGAGTGGGTGTTATTCTTCCCATCAAAGCAATGAATGAAGAATTTGGGGGTTCCCCTCTTGAAACTGACCAGAACAGCTCACCAGCTCAGGGTGGCCGTCTCGACAGTGCTGACCTGAAGAAAGACCGGAAAACAACATGCCTTTCACCTTGAGTATTGACAACGGTTCGACCAAAACCAATTATTTTCACTAGATCTTCGGAGACGATTTTAGCTGCCGTGAAGAAATTACTTTCAAACCTTCAGTCGGAATGTAGCCCAAGGAAGACCTTTCTGAATCTAGAAGATTCTTGACTGTGACTGTAGGTCAAATGCCATCTTAGCACATGCTGCAGCCACCATCGCTCCTGAGCAGTCACCAGACCCACTGACTGGCCCCGCAGCTAAAGAACCAGCTAATGGGCGCATGCTGGCTTGACGGGGCAGTCCCTGCTTCTTCTCGCTGGTCCCGGATCTGTCATCTGAGGGTCCTTCCAAGCCCAAGTTCCACCCCGTAGGGTTTGGGGAGTGGCACACGGGAACTACCTTGTGTTGCCCTGTGCCACCCAGCAACCAGTGGAGGTTCTTGTGGCCTGGGGTAGCCCTGTCTTCTGTTATCCCCTTGTCTGTGGCCAAGGTGCCCAATTCCTGGCAGAGGTGCCCTGGCAGGTCAAGTCACTGATCCTATAGGGGAACGATCGAGAGGTGTCCTGGAGGCCAGCGCCATTCTTCACAGGCCCCCTCTCTGGACTCACACGGCCCCATCCCTCCCTTGGCCAGAAGAAAGGCTCTCTTCCCGGTCAGGAGCCCTCTGAAGGCTGTCCCCACCCAAACAAGGCGCTTGCAGGTCAGGCGGCTGTGAGCCGAGCTGGGCTTGTTCGGCATCCCCTCCCTCCAGAGTGTAGTGTTACTTCATGTATCTGGAATGCATTTATGACTGTAATCCTCGTGACCCACCTCCTTCCCACCCTTGGTCTCCTTTCCCCTTCCTCTTGCCTCTGCTTGTCATCTGACCCGTGAGACCTAGGACCCCGGTGTACCTAATGGAAATCCAGAGCCATTTCCTTTCGGAATAGCCACATGTGTGATGGGGCTCAGGGGCCCCTGAGGCCCCTCCCCAC